GGACCTGAACCTGTTCAGCCTCCACAAGAGAAGGCTGAGGGTGGATCTGGTGGCCATCTATAAACTTGTCAAAGGGGACCAGCAGGCAATGGGAGAGTCCCAGTTCCCCCGAGCACTACCGGGAGTAACAAGGAATAACGGCCATAAGTTGACTGAGAGTAGATTTAGGCTAGACACCAGGAGGCAGTACTTCACAGTCAGGGCAGCTAGAATCTGGAACCAACTTCCAAGGGAAGTAGTGCTGGCTCCTACCCTGGGGGTCTTCAAAAGGAAGCTAGACAATCACCTTGCCGGGGTTGTTTGACCCCAGTACTCTTTCCTGCCATGGCAGGGGGTCAGATTTGATGATCCGCTCAGGTCCCTTCCGACCTTACCAACTATGAAACTATTAAGAAAGGGAGTAAAAAGTATCTGGAGAAGGAACAACAACAACCAAAATATTTAATGATGGTGCTTGAGAGAGGCCCAAACAATAAGAAAAGGAATAGGGAGGAAGGAGTGCTGGGACTGAGTCAAGGTTAGGGCTGTGTAAGACACTGCCATTGCAGTGGAGTGGACTGAAATGGTATGAGAGAGAGGTGGCACATCCCCTGACAGGGTGGTGGGGCAAGGAGGTCATCAGTTTTTGTCTTCTTAGAAGACTTCCTCCATTTCCTTGAGCTTTCTTTTACCTGTCCTTTACCTTGGCCTTATATGGTAGCAACGATTTTTGGCCAAAGAGGACTGGATGGGAACTCATTGGTGCCTCACGGGTTGCTCATACGGGAGGGGTGAGCAAAATAAGTCCTATAAACTGAATCTGGCCTGTCAAAGGTTTCTATTCCACCCACAGCAGGCCCCTTGGCCCAGCTTAGCCCAGGTGCAGGTGGCAGCCCAGGCAGTGGCATGTGCAGCCAGTCCCACCGCCCTGGGTCAGAGCGAGGCAGGGAAGCCGAGATGGACTCGGTTTCCTGGTAGTGCCTGTGAAGGTGGCTCACTCTGCCTGGCTGCTGCTGCCTGTGTCTCCGCTGCTGTTGCTGGACCCAGTCCCACTCCCCAGGCACCCCAGCCCATCCACCCTGCACCCACCTCTGGTTCACTGGATGGAGTGGGCAGAGTCTCTAAGGAGATGGCCTGGGACTGCTGCAGGCAGGATGTGTTTGGCTGGGCAGATGGGATGGGGCTGTGGGTAGGTAGGGAGCAGCATCTGGGAGTGGGATAGGGTGCATCCGGGAGCAGGGCTGGGATCGCAGGGTGGTGACAGTGCAGGGCCAGGGCCTGAGCCTGGGGCAAAGTTGTGATCCACTCTCCACATGTCCCTGCCCATGAAACTGGCATGCATCACAGGGATGTGCAGAGAGTGGATCATGGCTCTGCCCTGGGTTCTGGCCCCATGCTGTCACCACCTGGCAATCCTGGCCCCACCCCCCATCACTCTTCTGGATGTGGCTCCCTGCCCACCCACAGCCCCATCCCATCTGCCTAGTTGAGCACTGGGAGGCCCCATCCCATTTGCCCTCCAAGGAGACCCTGTCCACCTGCTCCATGCAGTGCCCCTAGTGGTGGGTGTAGGGCAAATGGGCCCAGGGTCAGAGAGGATCAATTCCCCCATCCCTCCTCCATGGCACTGGGCCAGGTCAGCAAGACCCGACCCCCCTCCATTCTGGCCTGCAACAGCTCACTGAAACTCCTGAAGTGGCCCTACAGCACAAATAATTGTCTACCCATGCCATAGGGACTGTTGAGAAACAGGAAGATCCCTCCCCTTTCCCATCCTGATCTGAGGGGTTCGGTGAAGGGCTGGATAAGCATCCAACTTCTGGCTGAATATCTGGACTGAAATCAGACCTTAAGTTGTTGCAGTCTACCTGCTATTTGTGACATATGCACGGTTTTCCCAGTCTGTTATGCAGACAGGTTTTCCTTATAAACAGAAAGAATGTGACCAGTTGCAAACTTACCCAATAGGATCATGAAGGATAGGCCAGCAATGCCACCCACAAATACGATAGCAACGGTTACCTTACAGCATATGCTGAAAGCTGCCAATTTCACCCTCTCTGTGCTTGGCACTGGCTTTAGAGCTACATCCATTTGTTCCATGCTGTCAAAGCAACTCTATAGATGACCTAGATAGTTAAAAACAAGGGGAGAAGAAGGGCATGCATGGTTGGAATAAATGCAAGAAATGTTCATCTCCATAGCTCCAACTCAGCTGTTTTCAACCAGGAGTAGCAGCACAAGCAAGAGGACTAGACATGTAGGACTGAATTCTATTTTGCTATAAAGATGTCTCTGACAGCTGCCGCTTTTTTGAAGCTAGCACAACCAGGCACTGGAAAGATTCTGCTTCACACATGTGGTTCTCCTGTTCTTTCATTGAGGGGCTAATAAACCTCTAGAAGCACCCTATCGACCCTTACAGAATAGCAGGGCATCCCCATACATTTAAATGGGCAGCATTTATTAGTATCCAGAATTGGTTCTTATTATACCCAGAGGGTATGTAGCTCTCCCTTTTCTAAATGGAGGAGTTATAACCTGTTCTATCTTTCCTTCACCAGGCCACATTTCTACTTGCTTTTGACAGCATAAAATGTCAGCACTTAACAGGACGTGAGTGGGGAGAAATCCACCTGGAAAACTAAGACAGCAAGATTAATTTCCCTTTAAACCTAATAGGCAGCAGCTAAAGCTCTTGTCCAGGATGTGGGAGACTTGGCTTCTAGGCTCTTTTAGCCTCAGATGGTTTGAACTCACATCTCTTGTATCACAGCAAAGTGCCCTAACCATGAAGCTAGGAGAAGCGTTCTCCTTTAAGCCAAAGGGGAATATTCACAGGGTTAGATGGAGACCAAGCAAAAGAGAACCTATCAGGAAGCTGGCCAAGGGACCAAGTCCTTGGTCCTGGTCTCTGCTCCTAAACTTGTTTATACATGTCCCTTTCAACTGTAATTTTTTTTAATGATATCATCCTAAGACATCCTTGCCTCTTGCATAATTTCTGAACCATCACAGCTCTTATGATTGTAAGTAATGACATCATTCTGGATTACACATTAGTAGAAGAGAAGATGTGGCCCAGTGGAGTTGCATCAGCACAAGTGAAGGGGGATTCTGGTCATCAGTGTACAAGGTGATATGAGAACAAATTAATCAGCATGTACTATGCCTGGTCTATCCTTCTGTATATGGTGGATGCATGGTAAATGGTGGCACAAAAGTGTGATTTCTGGGAGACTGACAGTGGAGAGAGTAGACTGGAGTGGATGTGTTTAATGACAGAGAATGGGAGAATGCTCAAGCATATACGTCTGTGGGCTTTCTTTTCTTGAAAGGACGGTCAGAGATTCACTACTGACAAGCCATGAGATTTTTATTTTCTCTCCTTCAAACACAGGTATACACTCCTTTCTGGTA